CACCCGGTGCTCGGCCCAGGGACTGCGCCCCGTCATGCGTCGCCGACGCTGCCGCCGCCGCCGCGTTCATGAGCGCCAACCGCGCACACCGCACACTCGTAGCTAACTCCAAAGCCTTGTTAAACGTCAGATGTTCTATGTTTTCAGCAAACAATTTCTCTTTCTCTTTAGCGTTTTCTAATCCCAGTACAAACTTATCTCGTAATGCTGTCTCGAGATCTGATTTAAACTCGCAATACTGTGCGAGACTGCGCACTCGCGCCGCCCATTCCGTTAAGTCTTCCCCGGGTCGTTGTTCGGCCTTATAAAACATGTATCTCTCGGCAAAAGTACTTTTTTTTAACATAAAATGACTATTTAACTTTTGCAACAACACTCCATAATCTACATTGTCTAAGTCGGTGGGGAAAACCAAATCTTTTGCGACGCGGTATGTGTCTTCTACTAAAGCAGTCAGTAACAGTGCACGCCGTTGAATACCAGCTTTGTCATTTGCGTCGGTAATATTATTTGCCGTGCAATATTGTTTAAAACGGCTTATAAAAATGCTCCATTCCTGTGCACGATGATCGAACACGAGGTTACCACCAAACATGATATTTGCATTCGACGTCATTATATTTTTACTCACAAAGTTCACAAAAACATTATTTAATGCGTGGATTCTTAATTCGTCGCCAAAATGTTATATTTATGAGTAATAACGAAATAAAACATTGAACTCGTGGCACACAATTTACTGCTTCAACGTAGACTGACAACTGACTCAAACGTTATTTATCTACCTGCTATATTAATTTGTTACAAACACTATAAAATGTTTGATGAATGAAGTACGATTCCTTGCTCAAGCAAAGATACATGTGGTCTTACAAAAGAAGACTACAGGTTTCTCCAGCCAAGATCTGCGCCGCATCTGTAATTCTCCTTATAAAACAAATGTTATATGCAATTGCAACAATTCATCACCAGATGAGACCGGCTACTTTTTTTAAATTTAGCTTTTAAAATGTTACTGATGCTTTACTTACTGTACTAGAACTAAATAGAAGTCAAAAGCAGTTAAGATGCTAAGTATGTACGTGTTGTTATCATTGTCAATACATATGTTAATAAGAATTTAAAAGAAATATGACTATATTTACAAATTGAAGTTTACTTTTATAGGCAAAACTAAACTTGTAATTTAAAAAAATCATTGACTAAAGTTAAATCGGAATTATTATTATTAGTTTTTGTAGAAAGACTCACATCAACAGTATTCTTATAAAGATGAAATGTGTAATGAGAAAGTTCTAGAATACTACGGGTTATTAGAAATATTATTGCATTTCTAACATCTTTCATTCAAAGCAAACGACTCTTGCTTTATTAAACTTATACATTTTTGTTTTCTTACAATTCACAATTACATTTTTCTTAGAAAACGTTAATTAACGATCATATACATATACGCGCATGTATTTATTGAAATTTTCCGATAATAATTAAGATTACACAGTAACTTACATGTTAATACGTAAAACACTTACACAGCAAGTGTTATACGTAATAACATTGTTTTTACTTCTACAGATGTTAAGTAAATAATAAAATTAAATAGAAATAGTACTAAAAAGTCATTGGTGGCTTAGTGGTTAAAGGGCCCGCCTCTCATGCTTGAGTTCGATCCTGGCCCGGGCAGGTACCCACGTGATTTTTTCGAGTCATATGCACTTACTTTCTAAAAGTATTTAGACACCACTGATTAATGCATTCCCAAAGAGGGTTGATGTCAGGCAGGCGCCCGGTCGTAAAAACAATTAGCCAAAACTATTCACAACATGTAAGGCAGACCCTGGCTAAAGCTAGGAAATGCCAGGTAGAAGAAAAGAAGAAATAGAACTAAAAAAAGCTTGCTTGTAATTTTGTTTGATAATATGTCATTAACGTTGTAAGTTGACGTCCCTCAAAGTAACTAAAACAAATGCTGGTATTATATTTTAAATATCAAGTGTTAACAAAAAATATAATTATGACGTCATACATAAAATCGCCTCAAATTATTTGTTATTATTTATCTGCCATATTACGAAAATCTAAAACGATAAAGTCAATATTATGGAAGAATAGATGACTTGTAAATGAATTAACAAAACAAAGAATTTTAATGTGTATAAATATATTCTTTACCAGTTCTTAAGTATTTTATTCTGACAAAGGAAATATAATTTAAAATTGTTTGAGAGCAATGCGAAACGAAACTAATGAAGTATACAGCGTCTCACGAGAACATAAATAAACTTTAATGATTTTAATACACTTCTAGAAGTACTAAGAAGTAGAATATTCTACGTGAATTTATTGAAAAGTCCAAATTTTGAACATAATTTGAATGAATCTCTGGAAGATTGTGATCTTAAATAACGAGGAAGAAGAAATAAATGTTATCTATTAAAATTTTGTCTTATTTAAATAAAAACAAGGTACTACAAAAATATGACTGTTTTAGAAATATATCGTTTTTCTCTTTGTTATCGGAGAGTTTGAAAATAAAGTTATGAACTTAGAGTTAAGTCTATGAATTCACAAGATTAAAGGCATTAAAACCTTTTGCATCTAGAGGTGGTATAAAAAGACATAACTCACAAGGATAAATAAACGAATAACGGTCAATTAAAACTTCTTAAGAGGTTTGAGGTTATGCCAGTACAACTATCCGAAGTACGATTTATATAATATATTTATGGTTTAATTTTTATAGTTGCATAAGCATTTAATCGACATTATTTTGCAATATTTTATTGTTAACAAACAAATAAAATATTGTATTCAATTTGATTTATTAAATGCCGCAACAAAATTACTCCACCAGGACTGCTTTGGACAAATTCATATATTCGTATATATTCTAGTTCATTTTAATTGGGTTGTTATAAATTTATATATTTTTTTGGATCGTGAGTCAATTATAATTCACTATGATAACGATTATAGAATTGTCTTACTATTTTTTATTTAACAGAGATTTAAAGACCCGAGTTGTTACATATTAACTGAGGCATAAATGTGGGTTGACAGCTCAAAGATTTTTCTCTCATTCCGTGAATAAGGAAGCAAGAAATAAAGGTCTCATAATTCTGTTCCTCTCTTCTTATAACTTCTAAATGCTTTTCGTACAGTTTTACCAATAGCTGTGGAATTTTATTGATTTGCATATTGCTTCGGGCTAAGTAAGTCAATTAAATAAAAAAGCTTTCGATACAAATCATAAAAAAACATTAAGTTGAAATCTCAAGTTACAATGATTGTAGTTGAAGACCTTGTTGCTCTTGTAAGAAATTGCCGTTAAAATAATAATTGGAACACCAGACTTAGGTTAAAAGAAAACAATGTTTATTAAGTAATTAAGTTCTCAAAACCAGAGAACATAAAGAAATCAACTACATCCTCGGTTGAAATATAATTACCCGTAAATGTTCTAATGAATAAAATGTCAAAAACTCCGGTGCAGTATTAAGTAAACTTTCTCAGTGATTAACATAAAACGTGAAATCGTGATCAATTCTTATGTTTGAGAATTTTTCATCTAACAATATTGCAGAACGAGAAAGCGAGTATAAGTTTGTTTTATCTTCCCATTGAACAGATTGGTTTTAAATCTAACAAAGAATTTATTGCAAGTAAAATAAATTTTCTCTCCATTTATAAGTTAATTAAAGTTACCTACTTTTTAGTTACGGGTTGCAGTTTAAAAAAAAAATAGGAATAAATATGTGGATATAAATAAAGATAGTTAATTTTCGATCATAATTTATTGTAATAATTTAAAAAATCTTTAAAAATCATCACAATAATAAAATTATTCGATGTATGTTGACACGTGTGTTATTCTTATTATTTTCGCACTGGTTTTTTTTATTCGAAGACAAATTATTATTCGTTTACATACTATATATCACAGGATAACAAAATGAACACTGCTTGTCCTACAAGACAAGTAGTTATTTGCACTAAAATGTAAAATATTATCATTATTTTTTGTATGGTGATATTATAAAACTGTCGATATAAAAGTATTTTATTATCAGAACGGTCGGTAAACTAGTCGTCGCCACCAGTCATCACTTCCATGAATTCTGAAATCCATAAAAACATTTATATACAATTTATTATTCTTAATATCAAATAAAAGAAAATAAATTATAAACATTTGAAAAGAAGCTCCTGAATAACTTAGTAAAGAAAATAGCCTTTTAAAAATTTGAGAATAACTTCATTAGCTAGAGAGAAGGTTAATAATTTGAGTTAATTAAAAATATGTTATCCACAGATAACATTGCTTAAAGCAAAGAAATGCTTTTAATTTTATTTTTTATAAAAGCGATGTAAATTAATACGAAATCATAACATTACTGTTACTGGAACACATGAAATAACTGGCAGAGATAAAAAAAAAGTATCGTCTTATCGTTTTTATCGATTTCTTTCAAATGATATGATCAAAATATTTCATGTTCTTCAATGTTTCTTTTCATTATATTTCTTCTTCTTTTCATATTCAGGAAAATTGAAGATATAATTCATTTACGTTACAAATTAACTATGTAATAATTTTAAAAGAATAAGATTAATAAAAATATTCTACATATAAATAGATTCAAATTATTCAACTACAAATTAAAAATGTTTCGCAAGCCATGATCACACGAGGTACGAGTATAGCCGATACTAAAGTCTCGATAAAGGTCGGCTGGCAGTTACTATTAAGACTCATCTTAAAATAGTTTAATTAATTACTGGCGTAATTTATCTCTCAGCTGATTCGTGAGATAATTTGTTAAAAGAAATTCACAAGCCAGCAGGTGTCTGTCTTGATATTATCAGACAGCGACAGAATGAAGCAAATTAGTATGGAACATTTTGAACTTGGTGTTCGAATTAAAATTGAACATTAATTTTAATATATCATGAAGGTATAGCATATTATTCGACACCTATATTTTATTAACTCTAATCTACTAACTCTAATGTAATTACAAGTCCAAAATATGATCCAAAAGTGTTTTAAGTTATTTTTATCTCAATACTTATAGTTAGAATGTGTAATAAATTTAACCTTACCATCAAAATCCACGGTTCCAGAACCGTCGGAGTCAATTTCCTCAATCATCATATCCAATTCCTCAGCACTGATTTTGTCGTCGAGTTCTCTCAGAATTTCTCTCAATACTTGTGTTGTGATGTAACCGTTACCTACATATAATGTATATTACATTAATATTTGAAGACAGACATTTTCATGTTTGTATTTATACAGCCACCTTTAATCATTTATAACAAGGAACATTTCAATGGCTGCGTAATAAATATCATCTCGTACCCTCGTATTTATCCAACGTTGATATAAACCAGATCTGTATATAAGCACGTGGAATTCTAATTCCAAGAAAACGTTCGATTATTATAATCCAATGTTTATAAATAATTCTTCTCTATTGTTAGCAAGATGATTATGAAGGTTAACAGTACCATATTTACATGAAGATACTAAATTATGTAAAAATGTATGAAATATGTATTTTTGACTTATTATAAAAGCTATAGCATAAAAAGATTTTTAGGATCATTAATGCTTATGTAATTTTAATATTTGTTGATATATATAAGTTCTTGATATCACAAGGTCTCCATTTCTTTTCAACTCTTCAAATGTTTTTAGAAAGGTAAAAAACAAATGCTGACTTTTTGTATGAAAATATATACTTATATACACGGTTGTATAATATTTTATGAGCGCCCTGGTTCAGTAATTTAGAGCTGATAGGAGCGAGAAAAACTTCTAAGGTCAAGTACTAACCTTCTTTATCATATAAACGGAATGCCTCTTTGAGTTCTTGCTGCATTGCCTCAGCATCTTCTTCAACCATAAACCTTGAAGCTAATGTTACGAACTCTTCAAATTCAAGTTCACCAGATCCTGAGAAAATTTGCAATACAAAATATACATATCAAAATATAAAATATACATATCTAAATAACTCTACTGCACTTATAATTTTTACAATATTATAAATATTTTGTGATTGTTTATGTAATAATAGTAATCTATGTACATTTCCAGAAGCAAACAGTAAACACCTGAATTTAACAAAGCCCGTTTGTTTATTATTTACCATGAAAACAAAGATATTCATATAACAATTTATTGGAACGAATTGACGTACGATACATACAAACATATCAGAAATCTGCATCAGATATCAAAAGAGATTCATGTGTCGTTATGACGTTGGATTAACAGCTGCTATTAAATATTAAGCGGGAGCTCACTTATTAAAATGACAAGTTGACCGCAATTAATATAATGTTCCACGGTATGATATAGAATATATTGAAATTATATTCATATTAATCGATTGCAGTTACAGTAGTAACTTTACATTAGTTTAACTCTTTTTATTGCAAACAGCATCGCCGCGTGGTAAAAGTTGAAAATATTTTACGATTAGGATCGAACCGAAGCCAAATACTCTTTTATCACTTATACGATTTTATGCACCTTTTAAAATAGTTAATGTTGTAAATGATAGTTTTATTGCATAGAAATATAAAAGAAACATAAATCAAAACATTGGCAGACACACTTTGGCACCATACACAAATTGCAAACGTAAAACGTTTAAGATGACAGAGATGACGGGATGCCAAATGTATAATATGCAATCACTGTGCAATTAATCCGGACACATTTGAGTAAATTGTTATTCAATATATCACTCAGTAAATATATGTTTTATTATCACATTAATGGTTTTAAGAGATCACTTTACAATAAACGTGTTCGGTTTTGTGAAAATAAAACAGAGTTTTCTACTGACTGGATGCTTAATGAAGTTATTGCATTTGTATAACGAAGATGCATTTATTTATCGAAAAATGTACATAGAATATTTTAATCATAATTAGTCTGTATATTTTGAATAGCAAGCGATGATTGATGTATGACAAGAAAATTATTTTTTTGAATTAAAATCCAATAAGTATCATGGAATACAAACTTCACTAGAATGAAAAAAAATCCATATACCTAAGTCTACACAAAAAAATATCTAAGTCTATTTATTAACTACAATAAATAATTAAATAATACTAAAAAATTCTAGCGGATTAGCATACAGGAATAATAAAATAAATCTCTTACCATCAACATCAACTTCTTTTATAATTTCTTGGAGATAATCGTCCGTGATCTGATGTCCTAACATTGTAAGAATAGTCCCCACCATCACGGTGCCAATACATCCTTTCTTTTCATGATCAAAAGCCTCGAAAGCTTTCTTGAGGACTGCAATGAACAATCATAATTTTCTTACAATCTTTCTCACAAAAAAATTACTATATTTCTACAATACGACTTACTATTAATTTGTTCCTTCGGTAGATCTTCCTGTAAATTAAATTAAATGATTATTCTTTTAAACCATAATCCAAAAAATATTTAAATATTTTAATTCACATCCCACCATTGTCAAAAGAAGAGCAAAAGTGTATATGCGATCGCGAACCAAAGCACTAAAAACACAAGGCCTTTTAGCTGTATAACTTGACAGACTAATCTCAGCCGCACGACTATTTCACCCAGATTGGCTCCGTTTCTGGTCCATCCCAACACTATCGAGTAATCTCTTTTTGGCCAAACGAACGCTTTTAACTGTTATTGTTAAGGCCGCAATATATCTGCCGTACGTGTTGATCCGTTGTACGACAGGCTAAATTGATGCAGACTAAAACATTCAATTTAAATTTATTATATATTAATTAATTAACATAGCATTGGATGGATGCCATCGGTTTTGCCAAATATAGTGTATTCTAGTGGTTTTTAAATAAAATAAGTTCCTATGTGTTTCTACATATGCTGCTAAAATTATTTCATATAGTTTCTATGCTCTTGAAGAAATGCTTTGTGAGCGGAGCGAAAACATTTCAAGTATGAAAAATACAGATTTTCTTTGAAATTAATATTGGAATTTTTTAAAGTAATACGCTATTCATGTAATAAGCAAAAAAAGAGCTAAAGCAATATATTTCTTTAGGTTTTATTTGATGAAAATGAAGTAACTTACAAATAATATTAAGGCTACATCAATTATATCAAAGGAAACATGAGAAAAATGTGCAAGTGCCATACAATAATCCGCTTACATAACTTATTAATTGTCTTCTATTATTTTCTCTCTGAACTCTTGGTAATTAATAAAGTATAGTATATTAATAATATTATAATTTGACAATAAAAATATAAAAGTATTTTATTTCAATATAAAATTCTAAAAATAAAAATGTGTTGTTTAAATCTAAAGACCATAGAGAGATTGTACATCTTATGTAAGTGGCTACTTCTTTTAATGTTCACCTAAAAGAATACACGTTATGTTTCTGATAAGGACTATATAAATGAATGGAACGAAAAAGTATAAAAGTAATAGTTACTTTAGAATTGGTTCCGTCGGAGATGGTACTACCACGATTCAGCCATTCCACTTACGAATTATGTGATTATGACTAGAAATGTCTTACTTATAAAACTTATACGTCAAAGAGACGAAGACTACAAAAAATTTATGAAACTTCAAAATACAGACGCGTCGATCAGATAATAGTTTATGCATACTATGTCTTGTTATAACACTTTAACTCTTAATATGTTATTTCGGGAAGGCAACAGCTTATGATATTATATCATCACGTTTTACATATAAAATTTATTGATTATTCAAATTAAGTTAATTTTAAACATTCAAATACCTACCGGTCAACTGTATATAATTTTCATAGTGAATAAGTCTGGCTGTATCCGGACAGGTTTTCCGATTGCAGACAGTGACATATTTGCAACGTTCCTCGTACTATTTCAACCCATCGTGCCAACTGTGTCCAAATGTACGAAATGTTATTTTATATAACATTTTTAATAAACAGCTATAAAGAGATAGTTGACATTATAATAATATTTATTTATAAAACAAACGAATTTATAGTAGATTTTCTTATGTGGTTATATGTTTTTATCATAAATATTTACTAATTGACAGCGAATCGAATGTACAAGCTGAGTGATTTTATTTTATTACTATTTTAATAAAAAAATGGAACATATATATTTTAATTTTAACGTTATAAAACCAGCAAATAACTGCTGAGCACCATTCATCCATATCTCCAAACTGATGTAGAAAATAAATAGCGTAAAATATTCTATTTGGTCCATTAGTAGGTTTAACTAAAAATACTGTCAAACGCAAAAGTTTTATTTATGTTCAAGAATTTATTTTTGACCTAAAATTCTAGTATCCATGATAATCTTTATCTATGATAAGTAGAATATAAAGAATGATCTCATTATATTTACCATTACTATAACATACAGGAATAGCACAGAAAACAATGATCACAATTTCTTATAGCAAACGACAATAAAAATATCAAAGCCAGAAAAGTTTTAAATTACAGATGTTCTGTCTATGAAAGCATCAAATTCAGAAAATATTCTACCATCAAACAATTCACATACAAGAAGTTTTTCGTGTGTATGTTCGGAATTAATAATTTTCGTATGTATATAAATAAAAAAACAAAATTATTAAATATATTCGCTAAAAACTTCGAAACAGTTAGGGATAATGAATTAGATTGTTGTAATTTATTTCCTTTTAGAGTTTTGTAGCTCACTCCGAAAATGATAAACTACTGAAGAAGAAAGAACGAAGAGATTTTGTAAAGAACTCACTCTACTTTGCGAGGTCTTGTTTCGTCCGTTCATGGGTCAAGATAATTTTATCATTAACGCCTTCAGATCATGAGTTAAATTTTGGAAAATTTACTAACATTTGTATCAGTAATGAAAAAAAAGACGTATCTGGACATATAAAGACAACATGAGTTCACGTTAAAGGAAATTTCGGCACTTCAATTTGTTTCTGAGATAAACGGCACACATAAAAATTTTAACATTTAAAAACTGTAAAAATATTAAGGACATCAAATCTCGTGATCTTTATGACAGATTCTCGTTACCATAAAAGGATTTGTTATATATAGAACTGATTTATTTTGGCATCACTGCAGTAGTAACAAACCTTTTGGAAATAAACCTACAGTTAAATAGCACTCACAACATTTGCGTGGGAAGGATTATTACAGAATGTAAACATAGACCAGATATGCTATGATAATTTAAGGTCAGCTATAATCACATACAATTTGTCGAGAATTTCTACACAGTGTACAAAATAATTAGGCTGAATAAATAAAACTAATAAAAATAAGATGCTCTTTAATCCATTAAATTTACAATCATTCGATTATTTTCGATATAAAACGACTATGAAAAGCCTTTGAATCATATATTGATTATTCGTATATATCGTTAGAATAAATCAAAAGAATAGACTTTAGTTGAATATATTTAGTATGTATTAGACTATGCAATCGTTTAATATTAGAATATGTACGTCCTTTCGACACTCAACCACAAGATTATTATAAACTCTCAAAAAAAAAAGAAAAGTTGCATGGGTGTTCCAAGTACAGCTAAAAAAACTTACTTTGAAACATAACTTTAATAAACTAGCAATTTGTGGCTAAAATATTTAATATATCAACACTATTTTAAGCTAAATACCATACATTTAATAGAACCTGGTCGATCTTTATTTAAAACCTCTTACATTCAAAACATGTTATAAAACTAATAAATTAATTACCTACGTCAAGAGATACATGTGTCTTTATAATGCCTAATGATTACTATCACCAAAGGTATAGTCGATTTTGTTGTGTATTTTCAAAATAGATCGCTCGTCCAATGCCACAGACAATACAACTCTGTCTTACTAAAAACAGCTGTACGAAATTGATTCACTTAAAGGGCGCAGACGTTCTCATATGGTTGACCGAGTTGTTCGTCTTAACCACGACCAGAATAAACGATTTCTACACTTCCTTGATACGACTTATACGTCAAGGAATGTTAATAGCTTTGTAACAAATAAATTTGCAAAATTACATATAAAATGTTATTGAAGAATTTAATTGAACTTTTCGAAATTATTGTTGTTATATTCTTTGGGAACTTCATACACTCTTTGACTGCTATGTACAGTGTAATAGGGAAAAGATTCGTAGTCGTAAAAACTGGAAAAAGGTGTATCGAAGCCAGAACTGGGGCCATTATCACATTGGTTTATATTTTGATTAGCTCGCCATTCCTTAAGTTGTTCCTCGGTTGGCTGTAATGCTGATATATAACTTCCATCATCACTTACAATGCTTCTCATAGATGACGTCGATCTTATAAAATTTGGTGTATTTATTCCCAATCCCGGCAAAACAAAAATGTTCTGATTTTTTATATAGTGCTTCACAAAATTATCTGATTCATGGATTAGGTTTTTCCTCAAAGGCACCGAAGGAGGCAGAATAAGAGCTTCAATAGATCTATGTTTTACAAATAAAACTCTTTTATTCGCTCTTAAAAGGGAAGGATTTTTAAAAATGATAGCGTAAACGCACACAGCACCAAAAGTAAGACATCCTAAAGATATGCACAGATAGGTTACGATATTTAAATATTCTTTCCTTCCGAAGCTTCCTAAGTCATAAAATAAACATTCGGACTGAACAATCATTCCAGCTGTTGTATTGAAAGGACAAAAAGTATACCGCGCTCCGGAATTAACATTAAAAACTTTTAGAACGTTTGGAATCCTATTAACACAATATATGTCTGTATAACAAGAAGATTGATACCAGACCAGGCCAATTCCGGGTTGTTCAAGGGCTTCTAATTCCAGCATCGTATAAGGACTCTGTTCCATAAAAAATACTGGCGTTATCCATTGTTTGGTTGTCCATACGTAGGAATAAGTTGGGGTTGCTTCAATATTAATACCCAGATCAGCCATCCTATTGAATTTACATCTATGACTTCTTGATGGTGTGATTATGTTTATACTCTCAGATGCGTAGAAGGATACATTTTTATCAGTACAAAGTTCATTTGTGTATAATGTAAATGATATATTTTTCATTGGTTGCAGGGAAACAGATTTATCAGCTTCGTGGAGTTTTTCACTCTTACAACGTTTTTCAAAATTTGAAAACGTCATTCCTCGTATTCGCTCTGGATAGTGGCATAATGGATCAGTAATGAGAAGCCCTGACTCTTGAATCGATCTTAAATGGATATTTAAACAATCACAGTGCCAGTAGTTTTCTTGTAATGCAATACGAGGTCTGTGAGGTAAGATCGCCTTAAATAAATTATCCGCAATCGTCACTAAGTAATTATTATTTAAATATAAAATTTCTAAGCTCTGTAAATAATCGAAAGTACCCCTCGCAATCGATGTTATTTTACATGAATTCAGAAATAAGACTTTGCATTTTCCTAATTTGGAAAAGCTTGTATTTTTGAGAACGTCGTAAAAATAATTAAATGAAAAATCTACTTCTCTTAATTCGAGATCACCACGTCCGGTAACGTTGTATGGATTCCAATGATTAATTATTTTAATGTCAATAAATTGTAATGTTTCATTGACTGGTTTTAGTACATTACTATGTATATCTGTAATCATGCAATCTTTCACATACAGTTTCTTTAAATTTGAAAGTCCAACTAACATATAAGTGTCCCACGAGATTAATTTTAGTTGTTCTAATATCAAAACTTTAAGATTATTACTGAAAGGACTCAAGAAAGCTTGTGGTGTTATATAATTGATATTGCCCCCAATAATAGCCATTTCACTGACTTTAGAACGCATTTTATACAGCCAAAATTCTGGTAATATTGAATCTTGGAATGTGGGTTCATTTAATTCGACAGCGATGTCTTCACAAGTCATATCAGCTGCCTAAAAATGTTGAATTGTAAATAGAAATGCAAAAAAAAATTAAATTTTATCAACCTAACGATATAACGTACCGCAACAGCTTTAATAATCTGATCCTCATTTTCTCCAAAATATGGAATTTCGAAACAAACAATTCGACATCGGAAAATCTCACATCGTTTTGGTGGTTTCGGCGGCGGTTTTGTAGTATTATCTAACGCCATCATGACTATCAGAATGAAACTTGTTACAATAATAGTCCCAAAAATAATCTGCATCAATAGACGAAGCCAACCCCTACTACAGGAAGCGTCCCTGAAAAAACAAACATTAATTATAGGTATCATTCCAATAGTATATTTTTTCTGTATCTATACAAATTCAGAGCTCATATTGTATCTCATCAAATTATTTCAATACTCTTACCGAATACATGAAAATAAAGAAATATTTTCTTTTACTGTAAGCACCATTTCGGTAGTTTCACAATAACTAGATTGCAAGTTTAATAATACTTAATGTTAAAGTGTTTTAACATTGGAAATATACGAAAGCCAAAAGCACGTCCAGCACAACGGCTCAATTATAATGAATTATGTAAAAGCAAAGGATATATCATTTCCAATAAACGATATCACGATAAGCTTTGATAATGACATATCAAAATGTTAATAGGCGTATGGATAAACTTGGCAAACAATCATGATCGAAGGGGCAATGTTATGAACAAGGTTCTTTTTATTACCAATGTCGGAAATGACACTTACATAAGCCTGCTTTAGATCATTTTGTTATAAAAAAAATAATAAGGAAAACGAAATGAATTGATTTTAATGAAAACACAAGTTGGTAGGGATGTTTTAACTAAGTTGAATGTTTCTAGTTTTTTATTATTATTAGTTTTTTCCTTTAGAAGGTATATCATATGTGTATGAAAAGAATAACTGCAGTGAATAGCCTCTGTGTTTGGACTAACTTAACCTACGTGCACTACCAAGTCAGTAGTAGTCAGTTTTCTAGTATAAAAATAGCAAAAATAAACAAGTCTAGTCGTACTCCCCTCTGTTAATTGCCTTACTTTCATTTGCTATTCTTTTCCTGAATTATTCCTATATTTTCTTTCGAAAAATCCTAGTTCTTTTTATTCAACTTTCGTTCACTTGTTAAAAAAATTGATACGTGCATGTGAAGAAAGAAGTTAAATATTTATTTTTTAAGACGAGAAAGTGAAAAGTAAAATTCCGTTTTCTTGGAAATTATCAAGAAAATAAGAATAATTCAATTAATAAAAATCCTTTGAATTTCTTACCATGACGCTTTATAGCGAGCGACTAAAACAAAAATACATACAATCACATACATATGTTTTTGTAATTACATAATTAGCTTCATCAAACATGTTCAATGAATATTAAGAAAAAATATGAGACGTTTTACAAAAGTGTACATATTTGAATTTTTATTTTAATCTATTCATCGCACTTTCAGCTTTATCCAAGTTTTTCATTTCTCTTTCATTCAATATTGATATTTTTTATTTAAGAACATTTTATTTATTCAACGAATAAAAATAACTTTGTATAAAAACGAATTCGTGCACGTCACTTTACCCTTATCAATTGTTTTACGTAATTGCACGTACAGGAACTATTATATAAGGTGAAGACTTCAACATTTCAAATAGCAAATATCTTTTTAATATGTAATAGATGTTTTAAAATTATATTGTGGTCAAATGAAAAAATATTTTTATTTTGATAAATCTATATACATATATATAAATATTATTTTCTTTTAGTAAATAAAGTTTTTAAATTAGAGAATTTAAAATCTTTCCGCAGATTGTATCAACTACCTTTGGTTCTTTATACTAGGGTTACTATTTATACTTTTTGATAAGGAATCAAAACAGGGTGTAAAAATATCACCACCAATTCCATTGGTGGGAAGATTTTCAAAAATAAAAGGGTAATAAATGGTGGTAAATTGTATGCTGTACCCTATTTACCTCATACCTTTCTCAAATCCTAAATCAATTCAAAGTATTCTGTTGGTACGTTAATTTTTAAATAAAGCTTAAAAAATTATACTTTTGTACTAATTCCTGTCATCACATCTTTAAGACGGTAACAAATGTTGCATATTAAAAAGTAATGTTTGTATTTATGAACCGTACATAAATTCTGGCAGACTGAATATGAGTTGGCGCTAATTCGATAATAATTCATATAGCAGAAACTTTAAAACGGTAAAGGAAACTATAAATCAAACTGCATGCGCCATTGCTCTAAGTTAGTCTACACATTTCCTACCTTTATTACGTTACTTCCGAATTGGGACGCGTTATATTTAAACTTTATAACGAGAATATTTATTGGACGAATATACTCGTACATATATGTATATGCCGGCGAAAATAAGTCAACAAAATTAAATTTCACGTGCACCGTCAGCAATAGCTTAACATTTTTGAAATTTGTATGGACTTACCTGTGTTCTTATCAAACAATTGAATATATATTAAAGTCAACATATTGTTTAAACATCATAATTTAAAATATATTGTAATTAATTTAATACATTTATTAGATCCATAATAATTAAATGAAATAAATGATTTTGTGTTAATTATAAGAAATTATTTCTTACATGACTGAACTGAACGTTTGATTATACATATATGTATATCAATTTAGTGCAATCAATAAATACAATGAAATTGCCTACTTTAGCTTCTTATACATACCTATTAATAAATACTGTACATAATGCAGAAGAATTAATAGTAAGATAGTACCCAGACTTTTAACAGCTAAAAAAATTCACGAAGTATTATGGTGGTATTTTTTTTTACTTTTAATATAAATATCGGTTGATGTAATAAAAAGAATTCAAACTTATGAACCTATTCATAATCAGATGTTAAAAAACGGTATTAACCAATATCTTCTTCTTCTACCTGTCAATTTAACAGCTTTTAGCCAGGATCTGCCTTACATGTTGTGAATAGTTTTGGCTAATTGGTTTTACGACCGGCCGCCTGTCTGACATCAACCCTCTTTTAGGAATGCATTAATCAGTGATGTCTAAATATTCTTAGAAAGTACATATGACTCGGGAAAATCACATTGGTACTTACCCGGGCCAAGATCGAACCCGCGCCCTCGAGCATGAGAGGCGGGCCCTTTAACCACTAAGCCACCAATGACTTATTAACCAATATATAAGTTTAAAAGTTCAAAAATCATGAATAAAATATTCGACTTGAATTTCTATAATCTTGTTTACTTAAAAGGATAAATACGTATATGTTTATAATAACATATTTATTTAATGTTGTATTATTGATGTCACCAACATTAGTTCATACATACATTCATGTACAATGTAGCCCTTAAATTAATAACAAAATTCTCGAGTATAGTTTTTTCTGATGTAAAATTTAATTTAAACTAAAACAAATTAAAATGTTAAAAATATGTTACGCGTATGTAATAACGTTATAAAAACCTCTATATTTTTCTTTCAGAGTATTTCTTTGGTAAACTTAAACTTTATAAATAATATCAAAACTTACGTTTTCATATAAAAATATGTTTTTGTAATCTGGACATAACTGACACATATTCTATATTCGTCGTAAATATAAAATGTACAATTAGATAGAAAAATAAAACTACGATATATTGTGAACAAATATTATCGGACGATTAAATAACTAACATGTACGTGAGCTTAAACAATATAACGTTGAACAGAAAATATCCAATTAATAGCGAACGTTTTAGTAAACCGAGCTTCCTACCACTACAAATGGACGATAAACCTCGTTAATATGATACTAAGATTAATTTGGAAACCTGTGCCAATAATTGAATATTAACTGGTACTAAAATTAAATGAATAATTTATATATAGCTTGCATTTTTAAAATGTGTAGATAAATGAAATTAATGTAAGCTTGTAATTTTATAATTGATTTTTTCTTTTAAAACACACTACATATAATGTATATGGTTATATAGTAAGAGAGAAAATTTTCAACTCCTGTTTATTTTTCTATGCATAAAATTTGTGTTGAAAAGACTAATTTTTAAGCTTAGGTTACATGAAATTTTAGCAATAAAAAAGCATTCTAATTTATTTTTATTGAATAATCTATTTTGGATTCAAAATTCTCTTCTGCTACAGTTAAACTGTTATCATTGTATGTTATATATGTATAGTTAATGGTTAAATATTTTTACTTAATCGTTAAAGAAATAAATTATACGAAAATTAGGTCTTTGCATAAGTTTACTGGTTTAAAGAGAGGACATAGTTCGCCAAACTACTTTAAATCAGTGCATAAAGTTATGGTTCAAACCATTTCCATATTTTCCATGTAAACGTGATCACGCATGGAACGTTATTTGGCACTTTAATATGGCAAAATTATGTTTTCATTCAATTTCAGTCCGTAAACTTGTTATATTTACCAAATTGCCATCGAAAATTTGTACCCAATACTGGGCGTTGACTAATTATAGTTGCTACAAAATCCTGATGGAGTTATTAAGTAAGTAGTTTTTAGATTTGTTTTAGTAAAACAAAATTATAGACATATTTAATTTTTATTAAAATCAAAATTTGATACACATTTACAGCGAAATTTATTATTAATACTTAAGTTAACTTAAATAATAAATGTGACTATAAATTTAATAGGGAATCTTTCGGAATCAACAATGAAATTTTATAGAGATTTTTAAATCATATAAAATAACAGCTGCTAAAACTACTTATATTTTTAATAGACGATTAGTAAGACATTAATTACACATACACTGAAAATATGATAAGGTACACAGTAACGATTAACAGTAATAATTCCACAACAATCAAATGTATATATTAAATGGCTTACAACTATATTGATATGCATCTTGTGGGCGAATTGCGTCTTTATACGCGCCATCCTCCCGATATGTCAGATGTTGGTTCCTGGTCAACTTTAATATACCGTTAGTTTTTTCGAAGGGTACAAAGTATATTTAACATTTATTCATATTACGAAGGATTAACATATAATATTAAAATGACACGCTCTAAATTTCAGCTCAAAATACAGTCAAGTCAAGGTTTGAATAATTGGTACCAATTATTTGGTTTTGGTTCTTATATTTTGTAAACATTTTGTCACCGTTATCAGACATTGACTGAATTCCAACACCGAATCTATGTATTAATATGAATACAGCGCATAGATTATACAACACGTAGAATATAGAAAAAATATTCTAAATACAACACTACACCAATTTTAAGACGTTACATTGTTGCCTTAACTTATCAGGTTTTCCGACTCTGACATGTTACTCGTATTATATTATGTGCATAACTGTCATTTAATATAGTGCAGTTACATTTATAGTGAATATTTTAACAACAATATATATTTTCACATTCACATACGATTTATAAAATGTATAAACGCGTGTAAAAAGAATACAAAATAGGTATTCAATCTCGCGTCATACACGCGCCAAACATTTTTTTTTATAGAAAAATGCGTATATTAAACTCTTACGAAATGAATGTTTTGGAACAGGATATTATCACATAGAAAGCTTCTTTATTCGCAACATGTGTATACTTAATACGAATATACTTAATATATACTAATATAATTCAGACTAGGGGATATGTTTTTGGTTACAAATATATCACTTACATAGGATTACAAAAGCGCAAAAATATAAGCAAGAATTTAAATTATGAATTACATAGATAAAGGACCGTCGTGCACAATAACTAAATGCGAAGTGGCAAATGTGTAAGCATCTAAAGTCACATTTATTATTCCACTATTCAATGCTGATAAAAATTAAGAAAATAAAAAATAAAATTTTTAAATAATACGAAGGAACTAACGAAGCCTTATTGAGTGGCATATTAATTTTTATTTCAAACATGTAATTGAAAATAAAATCTCGCCCATGCTTTACTATATGTGAGCTCAAAAGCCTAACTATTTCGAACATGCAACATTTGAATTAATTTAAACACGTGTATACAAAGAAACGTAACAACTGCTTTTAATTAAATATATCTAACAATAATAACTATAACTAAGCTACACCGAACGTTAAGGTTTTCTAATATAACATTCATTTAATTTTCCATAAAGTAAACATAATACTACGACAAACAAGAGGTAGAAATACGGATATAGTATGAAACGCTCCTCTGTAATTTGGTTACGACGGAGCCTCACATTTCTTAAGTGTACAGATAAATATAACAATGAATATTCAACTTGGTAAATGCGCAAAAGCTTACTACATAATAAGAGTATATGACAGGAGTAAACAATAAAAAATATTAGGATCATCATTTGAAGGTATTTTAAAATATTGCTTTAAAAGTTTAACTCCTAGAAATGTCTAAGAGCTCCATAAAATGTCTTCGAGAATTTTTACTATATTTTTTTAAATAACTACTGTCGAAATGTCTAACTTTACGAAGGTGAATTAAAATCTCATCACTTCTCTGTTGGTATAATACTAAAGTAAGGCTACCATAAAGGTCTTATTTAAAAAATATCTAGTGTATCACACTATGTTTACTTCCACGCGTTTTTTTTATACAATCCTTACTTATCACAAGTCACCATCCCAAATATTACTAATTTTTGTATTCAGCCAAATTGATATGTTTCGTAATTTATTGCACAAATTCATCACGTCAAAACTAAATGAGAATACATTTGAAGAGCATACATTGAGCTATCCGGCCACAGCTAACCCGACGTTACTCTTCGTTAAACTTAAAAGGGTAAATGAAAGGGTTTTATTCATCTATAGCCATCTAGCGACGACAGCGGTAATTATATTAGCCAAAATCGGGGAGATAATTGTTGCGCTGGAAGGTCTACCGTAACCGGGCTTTCGCTTGCAGCTCATTTTCTCTAATGGCATCTTTGCCACACTGTACTCCCGGTGCTCGCTGGCCATTGTGCAAATGGTGCGTTTCTTCTGCATCATCTCGTCGTCACGATCACGGAGACCAGATAGCCAGGATTCGTACCAGGCTAGGTCGCAGTCGCAAATGAGAGGATTATCTAAACAATAAAAATATTAGACTTTAGACAATAAGAATCATATTCATTAAAATAAAGCTACGAAATACGTGACATTATTCAATTCATGGGTATTATGAAAATTAATTATAGTTTTGCAAGCTCATCCTTTGATAAAACAGGTCAACTCTTCGTATTTTTGTTTCCAAGATAAGTAAAGACCCGTGCAAGTTTGCTTTTAATTAATTTACACTTTATACGAAATATTGAAATTTTATAAAAATAATATTAATTTTGTTCTACATAATTATAATATCCATATAAAATAATTGCAACTTTTTACATGAAAAACTACATAAATTTAAATATTGCTGGAAATATATTCCTATTAATTTTAACTCAATTATTAATAATATATTTATAGAAAATTCTAAAACTTACCCATAATATCTACAACACGCAAAGTATCGAGTATCGGCTCCATAATCTCCTCGGGAATATGTTGCAACTTGTTGTTCTGCAGGTTGAGAGTCTCGAGAGAGTTCAAGTTATCGAAACCCATTGTAGGCAATTGATGTATCCTGATTAAGTTAAACAACATACTCTCAATCAAGCTTTACTGCATTCAATTATTATACTATTTAAAAAATAATAACGGAACACTATTGGTAGCAAAATAAATTCTTTTAACTACTACATAGTATTAAATAATTTGAAGATACTTCAATAGACACGAGTATCACAGTATGACAATTATCTGTAATTGGAAAATAATCAATATACCTATACAATATATTTTATAGAGTGGTGTTTTAAACATGTTAGTGATATTTAAAAACCACTTCATACCTTATGAATATGAGTGTATAGACTTATTTATAAATATTATCTGTCAGTTAGTCTGTTTGTTCCGGCTTATATCTTTTCTTTGACTGTCAAATTATTTTGGCATTAAGATGTTATACGACATTAAGGTTGTGGGGACATTTATTTTAAGTTATAATAAAAGTATAATTTTTTATTATACCATTCTTTATCCATAAGTTAAAACTAATTATATAATGTAATAGAAAGGATATAAGAGTTAAAAACAGTATAAGGTTCCAAGGCCACTTCCAAGATCCCACAGTAGCTCTGTGTATTAATAATAAACAAGCGGAAACACTGAATCTGCAGTCACCGACCCAAATAAACAGTGATTCGGAGCGTGATCAATTGCTTTGCTCAGTTGCATCTAAAGAGGCTTTCCCATTAAACTGTTCACTGGCTGTTAATAAGGTTTTTAACTTGTTTATGCCTTTACCCACGTATGTTCTGTGAGGTCACCAAAAATTTTAATAACCCCTTTCATACGAAAACTACGGACAAATATGTACTCTCTCGTTGAACATTCAAATTTATATATTTGAATTCAAACGCATATTATCAGAGTGTTTGTTCAGTTCTATTATTCTTGCGCTATAAAAGCACTCCACACTGGAATGGGAATTCTTCGGCTAGTAACATATACTTGACAAAGCCATTTCATGACAAAAAAATTCACTTCGTATGTATAACACCCGCAGTTACGTTTCAATTCACATGAGAATAAAAAACAAACAGTTCATTTAAAATATTTTTTGACATTCGAGGAATGAAAAGTGAAAAATACGCAATAAAACTATATGGACACTTTTTAAATGACTGATATATTTATGTTAAAATTAATTCAAATAAAGGGTTGATTGGCAATTAAACAAAACACTGCGAAGTTCAAAGTACAGCTGAAGACAGAATATTTAACCAAATTAATAAATTCTCCCTTGTTTGTCCTTAATTAAATTAACAACAATGGCTGGAACAATGTTGTTATTTTAAATAGATGCGGTGTATGCTTTCTTTTAAAATATTATTTTGTTAAAAGAATTTATACAGTGTACATCTTTACTTTAATTAATTCAATATGAAAAACTTTTTATATGTTGCGACTTTTTGTTTCAGAATATTCATATTTCTTTAAATGACTATTTTATGTATCTTGGTTTTCTCGTCAACATTGTTCCTCCATAATTAAATTATACTCTACTTGACATGTAACAGTGAAAAATTATTCGGGGATAAATCTATATATTTTCAATACGGCAAACTGCAGAAGTAGATTTTTGTAATTTATAAAGACTATATACCATTATGTTAGGATTGAAAAAAAATGCGCTCTATCCAAATTTTCAAGCTAGTAAAAATAAAAGGAATAATTTAAAGTTATTAATTTTCCTCGTAAGCCACTAATGAGACAAAAGTTATAAGAGAGTGACAGCTTACAAAACGATATTTCACATAGCACGAATGCCAATGTTCATTATTTTGCTTATTCCCTATTTTAAAAGATTTCTAGTTTTATAATACGGATCATTGAATACTCCAACTTGTAAGAAAATTTAAGATTCTAATTAATTTCCTAATTATGAAAAATTAGCACACTTATAAGAACACTACATGTCAAAATAATTAAAAGACATAAAACATCACTCACATGTTCTTTTGGAGGTTCAGGAAAGTAATTGAGTCGCCGTATCCAGTAAAAGCGTCTTCGCTGATGTAAGTAATGTTATTCGAGCGAAGGTCCAAATGACGTAGGCGATGTAGAGGACGCAACGCCTCCGATGGGATCTCGTGGAGACGATTATCTCCAAGACGAAGGTATTGTAAGTTTTCTGTTTGGAAATATATGAAGAATATTGATTATATTAATTATGAACTATATTTACAATATCAAAATATATCTTTGAATATAGTCACGTCTTTTTGCCATTTTCTGTGGTTCTGATTTGTAAGTGTGAAAAAGTGCTTTAAAACCATAATAATTATATGAATTGAGCTATCCGCTTCCTTACTGTTATAAAAATAAATAATTATCTTATCTTACCTTCCAGTCCAGCGAAAGCCTTCTCATCGATCCGTTGAATAAGATTGCCTTCCAACTCAAGAGAGTTGAGGAATGTCAAATGAGAAAATACGTTTGCTGGTACTTCACGTAGCTGGTTGTGGGCAAGCCCGAGGGAATCCAGATTACGTAGGCCTAATAAGGAAAATTTATTGCTTCAGTTAATATAGTTTATTTAGTATAAATATACATAGTTTTCATATTCTTTATGCTCACAAATTTCTTTTGAATTCATAATAAAAATAGAGATTTTAAATACAAAAGAAATATAAAAAGTTAGAACCGTAACCTGCAAAATCGCCTTCTGAAATGGACGTAATACGGTTTTCCTGCATTTCAAGTTTCTTTAAATTCTCGAGCAGAGCTAAAGCCTTTTGTGGCACCGCTGTTAATTCGTTTCCTCCAAGATTTAACCGTTTCAGCTTCCTACAATAAAATTTTATATTAAAGAAAATTTGCATCTTTTAACTCGCGGATTCTACAAAGCCATATCAGATTTTACGAAGCAATGAAAGTATTAACAAATCATATTTCGAATTCAGAAGTTTCCTTTAAATTGACAAACTTTATAACAAGCAATAAGGCAACAAAAGGAAATAGCTGTTAGGCGGAAATTTATTTGATGACGTTTCACACGAACTTCTGAAATTGGTAAGTTAATAAATGATGATATTTCTGGTAAAAATAAAACACATTTTTAAATTATATTAAGCATAATAAAAAAAATGTACTTCGCAGGAGCAACATCATGTTCTGCATATAAAACTGAAAGTAACTTCTAGTACGGGTAGGAATTTTAATTAGAAAATTAATTTATCTTACTTTTCTAAGCCCTTAAAAGCCTCGCCGTCGACGACAGATATTCTATTTTCATATAAAGTAAGAATTTCCAATGTATCCAGACCCAAAAATGCTTTGTTGTGGATAGCAGTCACCTTCGAAAAAAAAACGTTAATGTATTGATCATTTGTCAACATTTTAAATCTAAACTACATATCTTATCATAATCATATTAAATGGGACTGACGATATAAATAGTGCATTAAATTATATATTTTCTCGTTTTGGAATTTCCTTTACTCATAACAAACAAGATGAACCATATGGAATGATACTTTAAAAATGTAGACTATAAATTTTACGTCATATTATGTATTACGGTAATCACAAATTGAGAAACATTGTTACTTCCAAAGTTAAATTTGCATATTACTTGTGAAGTATTATTATTTTAGTTTGATTTTTATCCATCAATAAATTTGCACCGAGTCTGAAAATTTTTTTAGAATTTTTGTTTAGAAATCTTTTAATTTTTTTTAATACCTCATTAAAAATTTATGATTCTAATGAGCAACAACAAAATTGACTAAACTTTATTTAATTCATATGTCTGTCTTTTCTAAGGATGCATATAGGTTACTCTGGCTGGTGGATTATAACAGAGTTGAATGTCTTTTTCCATATGTAAAAGAGCTAAAAATCTTAAAGTAGTGGTTGTTATCTAGGTCAAATGATGTTAAAGTGAGTAGAGAAGATCAAGTTGGGCTAAAAACTCTTTAATCAAAGCCGCAATTTTCGCTTTAGTACCCTAGATTTCAGGCAGTAAGTCTCTATTTAGACGGAATATACAAATAGCTGAAGATGAGTCATAACTGAATCCTATGACAATTAATGCTTTTTTGTATCAAAAGTGCTATGATATTCTTTTTCCTTCTCTTTAGTGGCGCATAAAGAATCTTCACTTTTATAAATGACACAGATAATGTCGCAAATAATAATAATTTATATTTTACGTAGACTGACACAGTCATTCTGAACACTTTTACATTTCAAAACACACTTTCATTCAACTGAGATAATTATTTTTTTATGTCTTGTTCTTTGCTGTTAATGTTTACTAAAGTTGCTGTAAAAGTTAAAGTTCCAGCTAAAGTAGTATATGATAATATACCAATACGAGTTAGAAACCTTATCATGAGAAAATATGTAGTGGTTCCTTAAGAATATTCCATCGACTGTACAAACTGACATTTTTTGAGATATTAATTGACATAACACCACTAAATTAAGTATATGCTTTAGAAATAATATATTAAGACAAATTTGGAATACTTTCTACTTTTTCCGAGATTAAAATTTATTTCTAAACAATGTTATCGTAAACAACAGTATCGTAAAAATATTAGATCTTAGATTCGGAAGTAAATTCGATTGATTTGGAATAGACAGACGCTGCCTTGACCCGAATCAAAATAAATATGTATGAACTTTGATTTTATGACCTCTATGTTATTCTATGAACGTTAAAAATGTACAGCAAGAAATATTTCATATATAGGACACATAAATTTTAATTGAATGTTAATAACCTTAGATCTATATTCCTACCTTGTTGTGATTCATGTTCAGTATAAGCAGGTGATTCAGATGCGTGAAGGACGATGTCGGAATTGTCGCCAGATTGTTTTGGGACACGTCAAGCTGTGTTAACTTGTTGCCTGAAAATAATAAAAGTTTCTTTATCTGAACTATAACAATATCATTTTAGACGTGAATTTTATTAAACTTCTAATATTTTGGTTTTAGTAAAATATATATTACTCCCTTACCAAAATAAACAACAGAATTGTAATGCTTATATCAAATTAAAATCTTAATTTTGACAAATATTTCCTGCAATAACTAAATGGCCTGAGATAAATCTTTGTAATATAGGGATCCCAACTCTAAAAAGCAATAAAAGGTTTGCTATTGCTTATTGTTAAATCTTACAGTAGACATGGAATTTACTACCTACTTTTGATCTGAGCATTTCGCCTCTATAATTAAACAGACAGGTCACAATTTTATACAAATATAAAAAATTAACAACTGTTTCAAAAGGAATACAAAAATGTCAATCTTTTAATTGATTCCTACGGACATATTATAAAAGTTATAAACTCTTGATATACTGTTATAACATCCTTAACGACCTATTTACAAAACGATTTCCTTATAAATTACATTTCAATATTTTTAATCAATATTTCCATAATTCCCTTTTCGTCTCTCCAAGTAAATCTAAAGTTCGAACGCGATCCCTGTGGCGTTGAAATAAAAACCTGTACCCTTAATTGAATTTTACGAAGACAATCCTAAAGGTTTGTTTAATGTGTGCTTTAGAAAATTATGGAATTTATTTCTTGTTTTTTTTTTTTTTGTCTGTGATCGAATAAATTATTCTTACTTAAAATAACTATATCATTAAAGTGATCTTAGGAATACAAATTAAAGTAAAAGTCTTTATTAAACTGAGCAATTTGTCCAAATGCATTCAGTCTAGAAATGAAACTAAACATTTAGTTTATGTTAAAACTATACGAAATAAGCTTAAATATTATTTAAAGTTAAAATTTCTAATTAACTTATTCCTTACCGATGGAACTCAAAGAGGAGTCTTCAATAACAGCTAAACTACTGTTGTGAACAGTTAGGTGGCGTATATCCAAACTCAGAAATATGTATGACGGCAACTTTGCTAGGTTGTTGTGACGGAGCTTCAAGTAAAATATTATCATGGGCTTCGATCGGAGCGTGTTCATAGCCTGCAAGAATAACAATGATTTAATATAATTTAAGTAACATTTTAAAATATCTTAAAAATATAGTTTTAAGGAACAATCGTAGCCACCTTTTGAATATGTTGCTGCTCAGTGAATTCACACAAAATATCCAATCCATTTTTCTTAACGGTACAAGAGCAGGGTGTTATGGTGTTTGGAGGAGGGCATTGCTGCGCGCCTTGAAGGTGTACCGGCCTCGCGAACAGCACGACGGAGCAGACCACAAACCAACGAGGCACCATCTTGAAATTTCTATTAGAAAAATATTACGTATTTATTATCAAGAAATAACTTTACTAAGTAGTAAATCTTCTTAACGTGTTATCAAAAACTTTTTCTTTAACATAATAAGCTTGAAGATTAACAGATTGAGCAGAATCCAAAGTTAAACTTTCGAAAATCAAATAAGAGGCCGAAATTCTCCAGAGATATTTACTTTTACGAAATAGTAAAGAGAGGTAATGATAATTCGACAATATGAAGAATGTTTTATAAATGGGAAAGTTGAAGAAAATTTCGAAAGTTATTATAAACATAACAATACCCGTCTAAAAGTTATTATATCTTTTAGGTCATAAAATAAATCTTCGCATTTAACCGTTTACAAATAATATTTGAATTGTATTTACTACACCTTCATATGTACGCTTCGGTAACAATCTAAACACAATAATCCTAAGGGGATAAGCAAATTTACAGATATTGACATTCGAGAGCTACAGATGGTATCAATAATTTAATAAACAGCTGTTAGTTCAACACACATATCTCCAGCTGCTTACTCTATTATTAATTTCTAATTACAGTGTCTAATTGCAAGAAAGCTTTGAATCAGAAAGTTATTATTCGTTACGGCTTATTTTTTTATTGCTATTTCCGTACGAGATCATTATTCTGTCATTGTATTTAAAAACCACCAAAATTTTCAAAATTTGTTAATAGCTAAGGATCGAACAGCAAAAAAAGAACAAACAAAGAAATAAATAGCTGCTTAGTATTTTTTATGATAGTGTAACTTCATAATAGCGACTTCCGTTATTGAAGGTCAGAGTTGAAAACGAACACGACACAAATTTTTATTTAGCAGTTTGTGGGTGCGGAATAAATATTACTTACAGCATTATTATCTTTAAATTATTTGACAATATATTAAAAGAAACTTAATTAAATCTTTTTAAATAATATCAGTCATTTATCTACATAAGTATTTCCAATCCTTATGGTTAACTGATATTCTACTAACAAAACAGCGACAATCTTGTGAAGTCTTCGTATAGTGTAAAATACTATTTGCTTTGTATGGTTTATTTAAATAATATTAAAATTTGTAAGACAAAATCTGCTTCTGGCTATTTGTTCTATACTTAGATCTAATAATAAGCAGATCTTAATAAGATCTAATTATTATTTAGATAAAAGCTCAAATTGTTGCTACTTGTAAATACATTCAACGATGTAGACATTTCATCTTAGATTTTACACAAAATTTATGGAAATTACAAATTATAATGTATATAATTTCAACCATAAATACAAACAAAACCTCTTTAAGTTATCTTTACTAGAAACATAGTAACTGGCACGTACAATAGATAACGTTCAAACTTTGTAAAGGCAGACATTTTAAAACTTAAACTACAACCGTGTGACAAAGTCAGGGAGTTTTCAATGTATGTACATATTAAGAAGGTAAGAAAGAAAGTCCCATTTTATAAGTGACATGAAAGATTGCGATGGTATAATCGTGTAGACTATGACAAATAACTCCACAGAACATTTCCGAGCAGTTTCTTTGGAGAGAGAGAGACATTACATTCCATCCTGACTAGGTCTTGTAAGTATAAAATACGAGTTGCCTCTCGTTACGTAAATGCAAAGGGATAAAGGTTAGGAAGCAAAGATAGAAATAATTGCTAGAAAACTTTGAACTTACATCACATTTTTATATTCAGAAACGCAGTATTATCTACTTTTCATTTTCAACCTTAATAAAACTAATTATACGTCGAATAACTATCTTGCGTCAATTTAAATTGAATGTCAAAATAATTTGAATAATAAAATATATAAGTGGTTGTAATTATTCTATCAAATGATTGTTTTTATGATTGAAAAAGATCTAAGAATCAGTTTAAATAATTCATCTTGTAATTTCAATAATTGTATTAAAGTATTCAAATAGCAAACTTGTACATATAGGTAAATAGCGCTTGCTGAATTTTAACTTTAAATAAGGGTAGTTATGTTTAAGATACATATGATTAATTCTTGAACAAAAACCTCTTTTTCAGAAAAATAAACATTTTAACTGAAAAGTACAAAAATCATTTACATATTATTTTTATAAGGAAGGGAAACTAATGTCCAAGTATATTTACTCCATTTTGTTTTCAGAACACACATTACTAACATTGATTTTTCTCTATATTTACACATACTTATAACTTACGTATGTGACGTATCGGTGAGTGGCGTGCCGCGCTCATGGGGCACTAAGTCATGTTCTGAGGCATCCTCTGGATACCCTGTAAATAATTGATCGACTTAAAATAGAATATTGCAGGAATATTTCTATATTCAATAAGTAGATAATTAATGAGATCTAAGACATCTCGTCTGCCCTTGATTACGGTTGCTGAAAAGTTACCAAATCGTTGGGAGTATATAGTTTTAAAATTATAAAATATGCTTAGTAATCCGAAAAATATTAGTCTCATTTAAGTAGATAATTGATTAAATTAATGACAAGCCCTAATTAAATCTTCGGTTTTTTAAGAAATTCAACATCAAAATGGTAAATACAGTATGGTTGCTGTGGTCGAAGGTTCCCTTAATGTAAAATTGATATAGACCTTTCTTCTATATTTACGTTCCTTTTAAGCTTTGTTAATCAGTAATTGTTTTCAGCGTTTTAAATTTACAATGAGCTAAGTCGTGACCTTCCTAGCTACACTCATTTAAAATTTATTACAATAAGCTCTTTATAGTGGAAACATAGACCGTGTACAAAAATGCTTTGCTGTAAAACAGTAAACGTTTTTCAATTATTAGCCTCTAAGTATGAATATAGGTAATGTAAAAAAATATATTGTTTAAAAAATTACATATATCGTATTGAATTTTTATTTGTAGACAAGATTTTTTATTCTCTACTTATATTCGACTTTCTTGATAGAAGCTGTAATTTCATCCACTCGGATAATAACCATGTCCCAGAAAAAATCATACCGCCAACACATTCGCCATTTGCCCGATCCAGTATGTTGTTTACTGAAGCCAAATTAATAATGGATCTAAATAAATGGTCAAGATTTTCATTTTGTCGAGTGTGTATAATGGAGACGAGAGGAGAAGACTTGGCCACAGAGGTAAATTATACGATTAGATTATTCGAATATCTCAATAAGATAACTGTGGTGAAAAAAATCGATACCCTACAGCACAGACAGATTTTTAGGAAAAATAAACCTCATCAAGACCGTCTGTTCCTACGTAAGCTAACTATCGGCACTATTCAATAAGTACTCACTAGCTAGTTAAGATAACTAATAGGCTTCCGTATGTGGATGACTATACAATTGTCGCTTTGCAGACGACAGGTCCAAATAGACACATCATCGAAATCTCATCTCTACTAACCATTGGATGGTTAAGCCTGAATCGATATGTCCCCCGCCTGATAATGAATTTTACAGTGAATTGCGAATATGGTATTACAAGTCAATAGTTTGGTATAATGGCAGTCCCTTTTTTACGTCACACCATTGGCCATGAATTTGTTAAGCTACTGAATAGATCATTCGGCATATGGGGAAGCTATAACTGAAATTATATAATTCCACTTTTGCTGGCAAAACTCACAATTGGTTAAAGGCTAAATTCTCAGGCTGAAAAGCACAAGAATTTGGCGTATCTCTTCTGCGTAGTTGCTCAAAACTGAAGAAGAGCAAAAAAATTTCGACAGCTACTAATTTCTACTAACTGCGAGCTCCGTATAGCAGTAATCATTATTACCCAAAACCGAGTATAGTACAGTCTAGAATAAATGGTACCACCATAAATTCTTTAAAGGTTCAAGGATTACATCCCAACTGAATCAAGTCACAATCTCAGAAGAATATGATTATGAATACAGAAGTCAAATCGAAAAATTATAGAAAAATGTATATGTATGTTTTCCCTTTTTTTGTTGAAAACTTTACGAAACCGAAATATAAGGGTTATCACAAATGTTCCAATATATGTTAGGCAGGGTAAATGATTTTATGGTTACGATAATGGAAAAACATCGTACGTGGCGTAAATATTTTGCGAGATCTAAAATTCGGAAGTAATAACATGATTTTTTACACATTTTGTTTTCCTTCTAAAATTGTTTTTTTTTTGCTTTACTTTGATATTAATTTAACTATAATAAATTTTAAGAAATAATATCATTAATATATTGATAATGATTGAAATATTTTAAAAACTCCGTTATATACATATTTGTGTTTAATAACTTTCTCTACATGTAATTAGTGAATTTATATTTAATTTGAAATAACCAATAATTTACCAGATAAGAATCAACGTAAAATGTTTTTGAGTTTTTAATCAGGTTACGAACAATACATATGTTATTGTTTTATTCATAAAAGGCGGAACGGTACACAATTTTCCTGCTTAATATTCAGCATACTGATATATTTTCAATTTAAAAAGTGCAAATATACGGGAGTTTAAAAGCAATTTACTAGGGATGCAAAGACTAACTATTTATCTATATGTTACTATTAGCATACAAGAAATTCGGACAATATCTATTTGGTTTTCTATGGACTTCTACATACTATACATTATTAAGACACAATATTAAGAATAATATAATTTAAAATTTTACCAAACATAGACATGTTATACGTAATAGTCTTTCAATACAATAAATGAAACTGAATTCTAAGTCAAACCTAAATGTATTTTATTTATAAAAAATAGATTACCTTATTTCAGTAAGAAAATTATATAACCTAATATCCAGTCATAACTAGATAATAAAATAATTCACAAAACAACAAAATAATTTGAAACACGCACTATTTTATATATGACAAACTTTAATATTGTATGTAGATAAAAACACTTGTCACCATGACTGTACAAATAATTAATTAGCTAAGATTCTCACAGAGTTTAAAGAGTTCGTACTACGTGGACGAATGGGACGTAGATTGGCACCGACTGCCCAGGCCCCTTTGGTAGA